ATCACATATGATGATAATATGACCTTCAACCTTGACCGTCAGCTATTAAATAACTTAACATATGCCAGTTTATGTTCCAAGATTGACAATAAATTTAGTTCAATGAATATTCGTTCATTGCACCTTTGCATAGTGGATAAATTTTATAATTTTTACACTCATGATAATATTGGATAGAATTTCTGAGATAATTTGTTCGAAATTGTGAGACATTTAACGATTTTAATAATTACCATTTCTAATATAATTACTAGTCTTTTTTGGTATGTAACGCTCTTCTCATTCTTTCTTTTATAAAACATAACGTCAACAATCAACAACACTTATTATTCGTTCAGCACATAAATTGCTAAAAGTTTCGCTTTATAGCAAATTAGTTTTCTTTTTCATCAATAGTAGCCTGTGCGTAAATAATTCTCTCGTACAATAGAATCCAAAAATTTCTATATATACTTGTTAAGTTATATTCTTACCTACAACTATAAATATCGTTTAGAAACTAGACGTATTCTTTGTTTAACTCAACATTACTTCAATCAGTTTAGAAACGAATGTCCTTTAAGGAATAACGCTAAGTACACTGGAGTAAATATTCGGTTTGATCGTCAAAACAGTAGATTAACAAAAGTTCGGTATACTTAGACTAAAATCGACATATGAATACCTTAAAAAAATCTTCTGATATGACACCAGGCTTACAAAGGACCTATAATCTTGTAAGATATTTAAAAGAAAAAGCACAATAAGTTTTATCGATTTTGAAAAAACTAGTAATTATATTAATTTGAATACTTTTCAAAATTTTTATTTTATACTAAATGTTTCGAGACACTAATGCACCTTCTTCAGTAGCACAACTACAAGGAAGAAAATCGAACAATCGAAAATATTAGAAACAGACGAGAGGCAATGAGACTATCGAAGAACTTTTCTTTTTAAAGAGGAAAATAACGTAACTTTACTTAGGCCTTACTTACTTGACCTTATAATTACTTGACCATCATACAAATTACACTATTCTAATAATAGATCAACTTCTCAACTGCATCTGCAACAAACGAAATAAGTTTAAACTCTATCTAGGAATATCATAAAGAAGTAAACCAAAATAAACTTATTTCTAATAGTTCATTAGAACTCCAGATGATTTCAAGTTACTTTCTCAGAATCAACAGTACAATAGCTATATCAACCTCTCGTATACAAATGACGATTGAAACTCACTTCATTCACTTACACCAATGGTCATCCACTAATAATTCTGTCGAAGTAACATTCTAGATCTGAACGAAACTAAAAGAAATTTGTGCCAGCATAATGCGCTCGTTAAGTTCACTAATTGCTGCAATTTCGTCAAACGGGATTTCAAATGACGTATAACACACAACATAATTTTTAATTACAAGTTTAACTTTACTATGGGAAATAGCATAGATCTATGGGTAAAAGAGTTCACTTATTTTGTATTTGCGAAACAATTGTTAATATTACTTTATTTATTAGGCTTGCCTTGAAAAGTACTTCTGATCTTTTGTCGAAGTGAACTCATTCATTCATACAATTGTATCTGACATATAAACAAACATTTTTCGTATGTTATGTTTTTACGGTAAGCACCGAGGCCTATTATGTTGTACGTTTAAGATTACAAACATAATAGTAGATCAAAATTTTTTTCTTTATAAAATCAATGGTTAAAAGTATAATGAGCAAAAGTTTTATTATTTTCACGGTCTATGCCAGAGAATATTACAATATAAAGAAACAAAAAACGAAAAACAAAGTTAACAAAAGAAAACAAAGAAGAATGTATGATAAAATCTAACCAAAATTATATTATCCAGTTTGCTTCTCTGAATCTTCCGAATAATTAGGAAAATCGTCGGTTCTATCTAAGTTTTTGATTAAATTTTTCATCATTTCTCCATCACTTTTTAATGCATCTTTTTAGTATAGGTACTAGCTAAATGAGAAAAATTTCAATCCGATATTGCTAGAAAATCTTGCCTGTTGTTAAAAATATGCATTTGCTTCTGGGAATAAATACAAAAACAGTCTAGCAAGGGATGGCTAAGGAACACAGAAGAATAGCTATAATCATGTATGGATGTTTACTAACAGTCGTAGTAGATGAGCGAGGTGGGAGACTCGAATAAATGATACCAGATGAAGTTGTAGTAACATCGGTGTAAATATGTGGTGTTAGAGCCGTTATTCTTGATGATTGTGTAATTGTAACAGCACCATTCAATGCGAATAGACCGCCATTGATACTGGCTCCATTGACTGTAATACTTGTACGTGCTAATACGAAACCATTGACGGTGCACCCGGTTCCAATCGTAACACTACTACCAACATGAAAATAGATCGTTGATGCAGAAGCACCATTAATTAGAATAATATTACAATTATTCGACGTTATCAATGCTGTTGTAATTTTAAATAGATACACACCGGCACCGTTTAATGTTAAATTTCCATTTAAATTAATGAGATCTGAAAAAAAACTATAGATCCCAGGAACAAGTATTTGGTTACCTAAATCTACAATTGGCAAAGTTTGATTTGCTATTCGGTTAGCTATTTGGTTGTATGCATTACTTAAATCATTTTTGGCCGCAGAAGCAATAGTATTAGCCGAATGAATTATACCATTTACATTTGTACCCTGTGTTAAACCTGGGTGTGTGTTACCTGGATAAATGATTACATCGCCGACGATAGAGGTATTACCGGTTGCAGTAACAGTTGTACCCGCAATAATTGCGTAACTAGTTAGGTTACTAATCGATATAATTTGAGTAGAAACACAATTTATCATTATAAACATTAGTACATAAAAGAACGTCATTTCGATTTTAGTTTTGACTTGAAATGCTGTGTCTGTATATGAAACACTAAAGAACAGAACTATAAAAAGTATAGTCTATATTCACGCATATACAAGTCGACTGACCTTATCGAATAAACATTTTTCGTGTGTAATCTTTTATCAATCTTTTTAAATTAAACGATTGAAGGTATAATGACCAAAACAGAAATTCATGTGTGAAATACACGTTAAAACTTTTGTACTAGAGAATATTTTACCATTAGCGCACCTTTCGCTTATTCTAATTAAATATTCGTTATCAGATTTGTGATAAGTGCAATAGCAAGATACGATCTACAATCGTTTAATATACACAGTTTGTCTTCAAAACAATTTTTATTCTACTTTTAATCTGAGAAAGAAAATAATCTCAACACATGAAAACGGAGAGTAAATTCATAGAAATTAACATGCAACATTTAGAGAGTTTTTCTCTTGGCTAATTTCTGATAAGTTTACTAAAAATTTATCTGCATGTTGTAATTCTCAATAAACAGAGGGGAAGTTTACAATATCAGAGCTCTTGTTTGTTCTCATTGTACTTTCAACCTTTCGATTTCGTAAAAAGGAAGAGTTTGATCTAATCTTCTGTTTATAACCTTAAACGTACAATATAATAGGCCTCGTTGCTTACCATAAAAGAAACACACGAAAAATATTTGTTAGATACATTCAATCGAATTATGTGTGAATAAGGGTTGTTTTTTATGTTTCCACTCTCTAGTGTTTCATATACAGATACAACATTCAGAGTCAAAAGCAAAACCAAAATGAAATTCGTCCATGCACTATTGTTTATAATGGTAAATTTTGTTAGTCACGATTCTGACGCATCTTTTCATTAGATATGATAAAATTTCCTTACTTCAGCAATTTGAAAATCAAAGATGAATTAGAAAATCCCAAATAATTTATCATATATGAGTAATTTCCGCTGCCATCTTACAACTGCTCTCCGAGGCACAAAAGTCGAATTAATTTCTTTCTCTGAATGGCTTTTTGTTTTGTTTGTTTGAACGATGCCAACTATCCTTGAAAATATCTGCTCGTATCTGTTATAGTTTCTGAGATATAACGCTTGCATCCTAACGATCCTCGGTTTCTGGCATCACCTGCTGACGAAGATCGCAGTTTTTCGATAGCGAAACACAGTTTTAGTAGTTCGCTCTTCCCTCATATCTGCATAAATAGTGAAGCTTTAATACCCGTTTCTTTATCCTTTTTTTCACTTGCGATTCTGCACATCAGAGCTGTAACCAGATTGATCGATTGATCGATAACGGATCCAATTAAATTTTTCAATACGCTGATAGTCACCGATTTATTTTCTGAAAAAATTTTTTTTTCGGATGCTTTTTCGTCGAAAAAACGTGAAAAACATAGAAAAGATTTCATATTCGTGTCTACATAATTGTGCTCCCTTCTGGTTAGAACACTCAGATCTTCTATTAAAACACTGAATGTTATAACTCTGAGGGGTCTTATAATATGACCCAGGTAAAACAGAGTTTTCTAATTGAAGCTTTAGTCAGCATAAAACTTTAATCTTGCACTTGAAGTCAATATGTTTTCTAACAAACTTTCTCTATTATTTTCCCTTTTGACGACAAAAAATTAGCAGTCACTTTCTCTTCACAACCGCTAAAGCTTCGAAAACTACCAATTTTTATCGAGCTGATGCTGATTTCTGATCGACCGATACGATACGATTCAAACTTTTAATCGGCAGGTCTGATTCGATTCGAATTTTTTCGTTCGGTTACAACTCTGCTTCACATCTCACCTCAAAGTATTTCACAATTCATGAGAAAATTGAATTTTACTGAAAGCATGTTCTTCGAGTATTCCGCTATGATATTTTGGTAAAAACAAGATTAAAATTTAACTATTATGCTAGCAACACTGTGATAATAGGTTACTTATTTTAAGTTCAGATTGGTCAGTTTGCCATCGATGGATATAATCATTAGATATATGTCCTGCGAGTATTCCACTATGATATTTTGGTAAAAACAAGATTGAAAGTCAACTTATTATATACCATTTGACTCATCTTTACAAGGGTTGTCTAATCATAAACAGCTTAGGGAAGCCGTCAAAATTCGCATCGATGAATTTATTCACCGGTAATTTGATTGGAGAGAAAATTGAGAACAGAATTATTCAATATGGCTGAAAAAAAGAATATGGAACTATCGTATAACAAAATGAATATGTATTCTTTTCTGTACTATACTTGACTTGATGTTTTTTTCTCTCTCTTTTCTATGCACACTAGAGAGAGATATAGCAAGAAATGGAGAAAAAAGAACAAATTTTATCGTTTTATCCAAAAGAAAGATTCCTTCGCTATGAAATTCGCGTTTATTCTAGTAACTTCCCAGATTAAAAAGTTAACAAATTTGANAAGTACCCTTCTCCAGTTTTTCTGCCAGTTTGTAGTACACAACTTGTACTCTATAACATGCTATTTTTTAGAAAAAGGTACCGTTTAGTTTTTGAGTTATAAGGCTGCCAATATCACAGCTGAAACGATTAACGCATAAACGGAAAAGAAAACAGACGTATGAAATGAACGAAAGTGGAATTTTCGTTATTTATTCTCCTTTCGTCCAAATGAAACACTACCATATATGGATAACATTCAGCATTAAAAAGTGCATTTAATATAATGGTGTTTTATTTATTCCGAAGTTAAAGGTCTATTTATGTCGAACTAATCCAGACCTCAAAGCTTCGAACACGTAATTTTGCAAAGCTAACTAGCTTTTTGTGTGAAGAGCTGAAACCCAGTGTCATAGCTCATTCGATTCGTCTGAAACTCAGCTTCTTAGTTAATTTCTTCGTTAAATTCTTAGTTAATTTTCGTTTTTTGGTGAAAATCTCGATGATTTTTCAATGTGAATATTCTAAAAAAATTAAAATTAAATATTAGATAGGATGGAGATATACATCAGTTGATTAGTGTTTTGATTCTGATTCCGACTATGATATATTTTCATTCCACAAAACTTGAGTTCTCATGGAGAAAATTGAGACTGACGTGCAGAATTCTGACTCATATGGAAACTATAAAAAAACGGCAACTATATTTTTGCTAAGTAGTTTTTATTAAATGTTAAGTTAATTTTTGTTATGTCCTACTTTAGTAAGCTATGTTTTTGTGTGCCTAGGGGTGGTTGTGGGGGGAGATGGGTGGGAGCATGAGAGTGAAAAAACAGAATTATTTTTAATAAATTACTTAGAAAAAGATAACTTTTTACTTAGCATTTAATAGAAACTACTTAGCATTTAAATGAAAGCCTAAGAAAACTACTAAAATTATGCGGATTCAAATTCGGAGAAGCTCAGCTTTCATTACCATTACAGATTGTTGGAGATGATTGGGAGCGGACTTATTTTAAGTTCAGATTGGTCAGTTTGCCATCGATAGATATAATCATTAGATATACGTTGAATTAAACCGTGTGGATGTAACAACAGATTTTATCTTCGACAAGAAACTGTTAGACTCACTTACTTACAGGTTATTAAGCTTGAGAATATCAACCTTATATCGCAAAAATATTTCATAGATGACAGCGAGCACTTTTATTTTGCACTTATATATTCACTTAATTTCTAGAAACTTTAAATTAATCTGAAAAAGAATCACGAACTTGATTTCACTCTTATACTTGTCCCAGTGATTTGATCATACATATGATCTCGTTCGGTTTTGGCGATATCATATGGTAGTTATCTATTTCATCATACCAATGGTCTTGTACGCTCTTCCAGATACTATTTCATCATTCATAGGATCTCAATCTCTTTTCATTACGTCATAGGTTTCCAGATAATCCTAGCTTGGTGTAATTTAGAGTTACACCATTTTGTTCATTTTAAATGTTTGATTTTTTGCTATAAATAACGATGTATTTTAGTAGGTTTGACAGATTTTTGTTAAATACAAATAAAGTTTTATTTGCTCGATCAACTTAGACTTTTCAATCGGTGAAAGGGATTTCACCTGGTGACAGCGCCCGACCTAACACTGACAGAGAGTGTGTGTGGGGAATTTTCGGAAATACGAACAATCTCGTTTGGACTAGTGTTGGGATGATATTTCACAATCGGAGGTGGATTACTTTCTCAAGTGCAATGGATCTCGTCCTGTACTCGGCTTATGCACTTAATGCGATGCTTCCCTGATTAAGTTTTTAAAAACATTTTTCCATTGTGGAAGTGGTTCAAGCACACCTCCTGACGCAGTTTTTCACGCTGATTACGAATCTCGTGTTCTTTTAAAACAAAATTGGGGTTTGGGAACGAAATTGAGTTTAAGTTTTTAAAAAGTTTAATTTCAATTTTCTGACCTAGAAATTTTGTCTAAAAAATACAGAAAGTACACTAGTCGATAGACAATTAAAGTCTCTACAAAATGGCTCATTTTGTTTCGACAGTGAAGTTTTTCGCCGAGCACCAGGCTTTGTAGAAACTTCCAGGTTTCGAGCTATCTTCCAGTCAAGGTTTGAAGTTTAGAGTGCTAGTTCTTCCGTGAATCGTGAGTACCCACAAAAAGCTCTGATAAAGATAAAAATAAAGTTCTTTTGGCCGTGCTGAGTACCAGGAGCTGCTCTCCCAAGAAACAAATGCACAGCGTCACGTTACGGTAATAAAATAACGTTTCTGCCATCCACGAAGACCCTGGAATGAAATTTCTTTTACTAACGTGTAGACCGTTTTCTCCTCGACATAACCACTTGCAAATAAAACTTTTCACCGCTGATTTTCCCTGAAAATTTTTAAAAATCCCCCAGATACCAAAGAACAAAGGGCCTTCTTTGTCACAACGTTACGCTCTGGAAATTTGCTATAAAACTGCTAAACTCAAACCAAATTTTCTTCTTTTTCTATTGGAGATAGAGGGCGTTGACTTGCGTCGAATGGTGCTTGAACTCACTCAC